TCAACAAACAAACAGAACAAATTCATACCGTCTACATATTTCTCATTGCCTGTGGTACGTAACATGCTTAATAGATTACGCTTGCCTTTAGTCCGTTATACTCTCTCATGCCCACTAATGGAGAATAATTAAGCATAATTAACAGTTGTTATCGTACCGAATAATTTACTTTGAATGTCTCTATGTTCCGACTTTAATCGTAAAGACATTAGCATCACGTAGATTTCCCGCATACATATACAGTTATGACACTTACAGAAAGGCTGCTTACTCACGTGTACGCCTGCTAAACTTTCTTTAGATGAGGACTTTTAGAGTTACTTATAGCAAGAACACTTGCTATTCCTGAGATTATATATCATAAAGTTACAGATTACTCACTGATTCAAATTTCATTTTCTACTTAAAACAAAATCCGTCTTCCTTTGCAGGAAAAACAAAGCTTGTGCAACGATTAGTGTATAAATGCAACGATTAGTGTATAAATGCATAAATTGTACACCTTTGCAAAAAAAAAGAAACAACATAGTATTTCCTACAATAAACTGGGGGAGATAACTTAACAATCAAATCCTGTTTTCGTTTAAAATGTTCATCTCTTTGATGAACACTCAACCACTTATAAGCAGCTTTAAACATAAACACACATAATCGTGCACGAATATGTGAAGCATAAATTGATAAACATAATTTAATTTCAATAATTATTAGACAACTTAAATGTAAATCTGTGGCTCAAGATTTTTTTCGGTGAATCAACGAAAGGCTGTAATCATTAAATTTGACTGAATACGCGGATCACTATAGCGGATAAATTCATTCACGATATACAAAATCAGTTGGTGTACAGTCAAGTTCGATCCTTTAGAGGACTGTCTTATAACTCAAAATCATCTAAGCAAACATCTATATATATGTTGTTGAAAATTTAGTAGAGAATGATCAATATGGAAATAACTAAGCCTTATGTACGTCACAAATGTTGAAGGATCTTGTCAGCTAAGCTGTTAATAAGAATGTCTAGATTTAAAGTACGCTACTGTTTATTTGTCTTTCAGATACTTGCATTGTTAGAAATCCCAAACTTGTTTCAATAGAAAAATATAAACACTTTTATTTATTTCACAATTAGACCATATTTATTTGTCAAATATTTACTAATCCTTCATGTTGTTAAGAATTCAAGTTAACGCAAATTTTTGAAATGCATTAGTTGAAAAGTAGACAATGATAACAGTTGACTCAATTGTGTGTGTGTGTTTTGAAGTATTTCCAGTTTTCAAATTATGTAAAGTATTATTGTTTCTGGAAAACTGTAAAAGTTCTTTACTTTTTTTTTCCTACTTCGCATTTTAAGAAAAACAAAAACACATTTTTGGTCATTCCATTACACAATGTTCTATAAACTAAATTGTTACATTTTTGGTCATTCCATTACACAATGTTCTATAAACTAAATTGTTACATTTTTGGTCATTCCATTACACAATGTTCTATAAACTAAATTGTTACATTTTTGGTCATTACATTACACAGTGTTCTATAAACTAAATTGTTACATTTCATAAACAGTTTGTTTGTTATGGATTTCGCGCCAAATGTCTTTAACATTATTTCCAGAAGTTATTTCGCTGTCTCCAAAATATTATAAATGTTTTTTCTACCGAGAATAAATTAGATTTATGAGACGATTAGATAGATTTACTGATTAAGAAAACCAAGTTAACTTTTTCATAAAATATTTTATGCTTTTTAAAACAAAATATGAATAAAATGTCTTAGAGACTTCATTCTTCTTACAGTAATCTATGTTGTTTATATTTTTATTATTTCATTGAAACATTTTTAAACTTTACAATGTGGACCTGGAAATGTTTAAAACAGTTAATTTAAACTTGGAATAATAATAATTTTAACCGCTATACATGTTCTAAATATATTAAAAATTTGTAGTTTTCATTAATGGAAATTAAGTTTCATTATTTACAATATAAACGATCATTTTTTTTTTTACATAAGGAAAACAAATTCACTTCTCGCATATTAGACCACAGGCTAGCTACTCTTGTTCTTAAATTTTATTTTTCGCATTTTGAGAATCATGTGATCGTTTCACTATTTTGAACCACATTAGGCTCATACTTCATATTTTTAAAAAGTTCGATCGCATTTTCAACATAATGACAACAACAGTTTCAAACCCAGTAACGCAGTCATCCGTTAATAGTTTAAATTTCGCTGAGAGCATAAATTAAGTTGGTTAAGACTGTATTTTTTACTGAATGAACTTTTCAAAATTCATGAACAAATCTATGCAAATTTCTAAGCTTCATTATTTTTTTTTGTCAACGCTATCTTTTGTGTATGAGTGGGTGTGTTTGTTTCGTGTGGGCAATATGTTTTACAGGCTTTTAATTATTTATTTATCAAAAACAGATAAACCATTGGATGGCCTTTAAAGCATAGTAACGTGGAAAAAGTTATGGAAACTTCAATGTTACACTCTTACATAGCTACTCATTTAGAATGTGATTAAACATTCGTGTCATATTAGCTTGGTTTTAAACAATGATACCTTCAGAATTTATCTGTCTTATTTTTAATGGCAATTTTCTGAGCTAAATTACACCCATACTGCGTAGAATTTAATATTTTTTATAATGAAGTCTGTTACTTCCGCTAGACCCTTTACTTTTATACATTCAATTATTAACTAAGTAATTTGGTAATAGCTGGTGATGTTATTTTAGCACAAAGCTATGCAATGGGCCAGCTGCCCTCACTTCAGTGCAGTTAATCGAACCCCGGATTTTAGGGTTGTAAGTCCGTCAACTTACCGCTGATCCACCGGGGGGTGGGGGGGGGCTTTATAATATCCTTAGATTATATAATATATTTGTAAATGAAATGCTCCTCATAGATTTCTCATTTTATTAGTTTGTTGACAATTTAGATGCAGTTTTATCCTCATGTTACTTTGCAGTTAAAACACGAATTATATTCGTAGTCTCAGGTCAGTGGTTCCCAAACTGTGTTCCGCGGAACCTTGGGGTTTCGCGAAACAAAAATCAGTAATGGCGAATAAACTGTTTATATAGAATTAATTAATGTTACTAAGGTATTCCAATTAGCGTTTCCATTCCAATTAAAAATAATGGTGCCTATAACGGGCACCAATCCTCCTCTGTTAAGGGAAGCAAGCCCACCAATAAAATTAACAGAAGTGCCACTATTTCTTTATAGTCTTAGACGAATCATACTTTGTTTTTATGATATGCCGTGTAGGATAATTGTACAAAAGAATGTTAGAATATATATATATGTGTGTGTGTGTGTGTGCAAAAAAGTTTCCAGCATTTGGGATCCACTGTCATAGATAAAATAAAATATGTATAATTGAAATACTCCTCAGAGTGTTTCACGTTTTATTTTATTACTTCGTCGACCAGTTAGATACATTAATATTAATATTTTGTTGATAAGTCACGTTTTTAAAACAAACACAGACACGTTCAGAATTTCTGTACGGACCAAAATATTATGTTCTGAAAGTTACAGATAAGAATAAGAGGTCTTCATTTTCTATTTCACCTTCCTCATATCTAACCTATAAATGTTTTTGGGAAAAAAATAACAGTACTCTTATATACGCCCCCCCCCCCCCAGTGGCACAGCGGTTTCGATACCCGTGGTGGGCAGAGCACAGATATCCCATTGTGTAGCTTTGTGGTTAATTACAAACAAACTCTTGTATACTAACCCGGAGATCAGAAGTGCTGTATATATATATATTATTCCTGTGAGCTATTTCGACACAACGAAAATTTGGAATAGATTTTCTCAAACATCTCTGCCTCTATTGCGTTTTTCACTTGATGGTTCAGCTATGCAATACTAGTGATTTTTCAAATTTCCAAGATTCAACAAGTAAGGATTTTCATTATTCTTATCATTTGTTATATTACGTGTATGTCTGGCATAGCCTTATGATTAGGGCACTCGGTTTGCAATCTTTGGATCGCGGGTGCGAAACTCCATCACCGAACACGTTCGCCCTTTCAGCCGTGGGGGCGTTATAATGTGACGGTCAATCCCACTATTCGTTGGTAAAAGAGTAGCTTAGGAATTGTCGTTAGATGGTGCTGAATATCTGCCCTCCCCCCTCTTGTCTATCACTGCTAAATTAGGGACGTCTTGCGCGAATAGTCCTCGTGTGGCTGTGCTCGAAATTCAAAAACAAACAGATAGTATGTTACATGTAGACATATTTCATAATTTTTAAAGCACTTGAAATTATGTTATATATATATATATATATATATCAATCCGATAGTCTAATACTAATCCCAACTGTTTTGGCACTTGGTAAAAATCTCTATTTTCTTATACTTTACATTCCCTTTCAACGATACTTTTTTCCTGAGTGTTTTAGATCTACAGCAAACAAAATTAAAATTAACTTACCCTCTAAGGCAATATTCGGTTCTATTAGAAAATTTGAACTCCCAGCAGGAAGAAAAACTAACAAAATCAATTGAGCAACAGAAATATTTTCATTTCGATCTAATTGAACAAGTTCCTTGACTGTATACGAAATACAACATATTTAATTTATGTTCCTTATAGATCCTTCGTTATCAAACTATAATTTTAAACTAAAAATATTTTGCCGTTTTTTTTTATTATTCTAAATCCATTATTGAATTTGCTTATGTGCAGAAGTCATTCTAATTAGTACATTGAAAAAAAAAACGATTCAGATCTTAAATCATCGGAGACGTTATAATATTTATAGAGGCTCAGTAAACTTTTTTCTCCCGCATATTAATTAGAACCTCGAGAAATACTTAAATTAAGGTCAGTGATTGCAGACTAGTTGTTATATAACGCATGCTCAGACTCATATATCAGTAACACAATTATTTGGTGCTCTTTTATAAGAATTAGGCTATGCTATTTCATCAGTAAGGTTGTTGTTTTTTATGTGTTTTTTTCAGAATCTAAAGGAGCAGATTATGACAACAAACGTCTGGGTTCAACAGGTCAGTAATCATTATATATATATGTATTCAATATTTCTTCTTTTTTTAATCACGGGTGAAATTGAAAAGAGAATCTGTGACGTAGAGGCCTAATGCATTCTTTTATTGGCCGTACCCTCTTGCTGTGGCGCTATCGCCTTATTCAAGGTTCATCAGCACAGCTTGGGTCAAAAAACCAAAGAAATGCCATTAGGCCTAATATAATAATGAAGTATGTATGTTATAACATTATTTTCATATCTAAGTTAATTTAGGTGACTATATGGTGAAGTCAAACGGACTCAAGACCACGTAGATAATCATATTGTTTTCCTCGTTTTGTATAATAATAATAATAATGAGAAAATTGTAAAATATTTATTCCAGAAGTTCGTGAAACAAGTTTTCACTTTAGTATGCTGTCCTTATTTCAGTTTTTTATTTTATCCTAGGAATTATATATATATATATTCAAGGATATGAGAACAATTCAACCAAAATGTTTTATACGTGAATATATTTGTGATTGGTTGAATTAATCTAGAAAAAAAAGAGAGGTATTTTCCTTAATCAAATATTTACTGCTTTATTCTGGATGGTCACTTGATTGCTAAAGGCTCCTTTCATTTCATTAGCAAACAATATTTTCAAATGTTAACTTCGTATACACAAGATAAATATTTGAATTAACCAATAACCTTGCCATGAACTAGTTAGTTTTCCTGTAATATGATCTCATGTATAGGATAACTCATTCGAGAATTGAAATACATACGTTTGCTTTATTAACCATGGCCCGGCATGGCCATGTGGTTAGGGCGCTCGACTCGCAATCTGCGGGTCGCGGGTTCGAATCCCCTTTACACCAAACATGCTCGCCCTTTCAGCCGTGGGGGCGTTATAATGTGACGGTCAATCCCACTATTCGTTGGTAAAAGAGTAGCCCAAGAGTTGGCGGTGGGTGGTGATGACTAGCTACCTTCCCTCTAATTAGGGACGGCTAGCGCAGATAGCCCTCGTGCAGCTTTACGCGAAATTCAAAAACAAAACAGTTAGTTTATTAACCAATTAAAGACTTCGAATTCCTCGGAAGACTCAAATATACATAGGTTAATACTTCACATGTAAAAAAATTGTCATTTTATGGTATTGGTTATTTTTGTGTTATAAAGCTCAGAGATGTTGAATAAATTTCAGATTCATGAATGAGTTCACGAGCAAAATTACCCCAGCAGCCAATCGTCTCCCTCCTACACAGTAACGTGGCGGTCATTCATGGTTTGACAGCGAACTGTTTTAGTTCTAAAATGGGGAGTGGAAGTGGCTTATTAAAACAAACTGCTTTGAATCTAAGAATTCTTGAACAGCGGTATGTCTGCGGACTTACAACGCTAGAATCTGGGTTTCGATACCCGTGGTGGGCAGAGCACAGATAGCCCACTGTGTTGCTTTTGTGCTTAACTTCAAACAAACAAACAAAATTCATTGCCACAAAAAGTGTTCCGCACTTTGACGCTTTGGGTAAGCTATAAGAATAGCGATTAATTCTAATACTTCGTTGAGAGAAGACTAGTTCAAGAGTTGCGGCTGGTGCTGTTGACCTTCTCTCTTGTTTATCGGCTCAGAACTAAGGACAGCTTTACGCAGATAACCATTGTGTCTGATTTGTACGAAAATTCTGAAACAAACAAACAAACAAACAGCCATAAGCTTGAAAATTGTTTCAACTTCAGAGTGGGAGAATACAGTAAATGTATTAGATGTAATATATTTTACAGTTTTGGAAAGACTACAAGCTTCGATGGGATCCGCGGGAGTATGGTGGTGTGGATCTTCTCCACGTGCCTTCTGACCACATTTGGAGGCCTGACATTGTTTTATATAACAAGTGAGTAAACCTACAGATCGTCAATGCTTCAAAGTTATTCACGTTTTTCTTACAAATGTGTTATATACTGTGTTTCCAGAACATCAAATTTTGAATTTTTAACAAATAAATCCTCAATGTATTTTACGTAACAAAAACGGTTCTGCGAATTCTAACGACAAACAATAAAAAACGGTGAAAATAAACATGATTGTTTGTTTGTTTGTTGTTAAGCAAAAAGCTACACAATGGGCTATCTGTGGTGTGCCCACCACTAGTATCGAAACCCAGTTTTTAGCGATGTGAGACCTCAGACTTACCGTTGAGCCATTGAGGGCCAAATAAACATGTCGCGTTATCTATTATTTAATTCATCACTTCATTCCACCCTTCACCAGTAATTCTGGTCAATGATAAATCAAAAGAACAAGATTAAACTTAATATATATATTAGTGGAGTATATATATATATTATGTATAATGTTTTGGGTTGTTGTTTTTTTTTTTCACCATAGTGGAAACGATTATAACAAGGCAGTTAAGGCGGTTTATTTTTTCTCGTATGAAAAGCAAACTTATAAAGACTTCTTCTTTAAGACTATACTCTCTTCCTAATCGGTATATCACTTGACATATTTACATATTTACTTCTTGTATTGTAATTCAAAGAATATCATAAAGAAAGTTAATCATTATTACATTTATGCAACTCCCCACCCCACCCGCAATAGCTCAGCGGTAAGTTTGAAAGCTTATAACGCTAAAAACTGGGTTTCAATATTCATGGTGGGCACAGCACAGATAGATTATTGTGTAGCTTTGCGCTTAACAACAACAAATAAATAACATTATGTAATATCATTTTGATTTGAGAAGAAAGCATGTCGCATCCGAAGACGAAAAAAAAAAGTCAGAATAATCATATGATTACAGTTAAGAAAGGAATATTCGGACGACGGGCGTGTTCTTTATATACTGTGCCATCTTTGTTGAATACTCTTGCAGTATTCACTGAAAGACTTAAATTACTTGTATATCAATACAACTGACAGGACACTCCTTTACGTAGCCACGAACAAAGTATAACTGGTTCTTTCGAAATATTCTTAACATTAAGTTCATCCGAGTAATATTATTTTATGTTATATTTTGATGTTATTAGAGTTTGTTGTTAGTTCCTGTATTTCTCTTCGTTCCATATATTTTTTATAGTAAGAAGAATAGCTGTATATTCTACGAAAAATTCTTGAATATTTGTTATCAGTAAAAATTAAATCTTTGCTGAACCTTTGCATAGCACACAGGGTTGGTGCTTTCGAACGCCGATTTCAAGTGGCAAAAGTGGGTGAGAATGGTGACCCCCATAACATCTGGACGAGATGTTAGCCCATTGCAGGTTAATCACCATCTAACAGCTATCATACAGCTGGATAGATTGAAACGAGTGGGGTAGAGTGTTTTTCTCAAGAATACAACAGTATAATTCAGACCAGCCTCGAACTCGTAACCATCCGACCACGAGTCGAAAGCGAGAAGCCACTGAGCCACACTGTTCTATGCAATAATAGTAAAAGAAACGTTATAAAACAGTATAACATGTACAATTTGATTGAATACGAATGAAGGGTAAATCCTTTATTTGCGTTTGAGTTCGTACTGACAAGTAGAAACATCACAAACACTATTAGATTTGAATCACAGTCAACTCCTTAAGGTACCACAATGGGTCAGCGGTAAGTTTGCGGACTTACAACGCTAAAATACGGGGTTAGATTTTCCGTGGTCGTCAGAGCGCAGGTAGCCAATTGTATAGCTTTGCGTTAAAACAAACAAACTCCTTTAGTTTTGAATCAAGGGCAGCTCCTTTAGATGTATTTGAGTTCATACAGATAAATAAAAAAACATCACCAACACTTCTCGATTTGAATTAAGGGCAACTCCTTTAGATGTGTTTGATTTCATACAGATAATAAAAAAATATCACTAACACTTCTGAATTTGAATCAAGGGCAACTCCTTTAGATGTGTTTGAGTTCATACAGATAAATAAAAAATATCACCAACACTTCTGAATTTGAATCAAGGACAACTCCTTTAGATGTGTTTGATTTCATACAAATAAATAAAAAAACATCACCAACACTTCTCGATTTGAATCAAAGGTAACTTCTTTAGATGTGTTTGATTTCATACAGATAAATAAAAAATATCACCAACACTTCTCGATTTGAATCAAAGGTAACTTCTTTAGATGTGTTTGATTTCATACAGATAAATAAAAAATATCACTAACACTTCTGAATTTGAATCAAAGGTAACTCCTTTAGATGTGTTTGAGCTCATACAGATAAATAAAAAAATATCACTAACACTTCTGGATTTGAATCAAAGGTAACTCCTTTAGATGTATTTAAGTTCATACAGATAAATAAAAAATATATCACTAACACTTCTGGATTTGAATCAAAGGTAACTCCTTTAGATGCGTTTGAGCTCATACTCTCAAACGGCGAAGTTTTGTACGAAGGTACTAGCTATTACACTGTTGAGCAGAGTTGTTTAAACATTTGTTTAACAACATGTAAAAGCTTGGAATGGTTTGTTCTTTCATTGGGGGAGGGGGTGTCTGTTGACCAGACTAGTTTGAAAGATCAGACCATTCCATGCTTTTACTTGTTGTTGAACAAATGTTTAAACAACTCT